CTAGTGATGGTTGCTTAGAGTGGAGACCACGTGTCAGAAGGTTTTTCTGTATTCCTGCTCCACCCCCACCTTTTCGGCCATCCCAGCATGCCAGCCCCTCTACTCGGAGGAGATGCCCATCACTTGCTCTTTGGTGCTAGGCTCAGGGGGGTTAAAGCAGGGTCTCTGACATCCTGCTTCCGCTTCAGTCTTAGGCAGGTCCTATGTGAGTTTCGGGAGTGGGGCTTTCTCAGTATTTCTGATCCTGCTCCCAGTGATAGCCAAACTCCACCTCCTACCTGTGGTTGGTTTTGGGTCAATCTTTCTCCCCTTTCCCCCAACAGAGCAGACATTGGCTTGAATTTTCAGCCTGAGATAGTTCCCTGCTTCTCCCCTTGGAGTAGAGGGCTTTTGCTTCTGTTTTCCCCCCAAAATCAATGGGTTTTCAAGAGTCAAAGAAGGACAAGAAGGTTTTTTACCCCTCACCTAGAAGTAGATGAGGGCTTCCCTGGTCGTTCAGTGGTAAAGAATCCACATGCCAATGCAGGAGACATGGGTTCGATCCCTGGGTCAGGAAGATACTCTGGAGGAGGAAATGGCAACCCACTCCAGTATTCTTGCTTTGGAATTCCCATGGATAGAGCAGCTTGGTGGGCTACAGTCCATGGGGTTGCAAAGAGTTGGACATGACTTAGCGACTAAATGAAAACAGTAACAACTTAAGCAAAATTCTGTTGCCCCTCCCTCAGTAACTTAAGGCTGTTGCTTATTCGGAAAAAAGGATTGTGGGAGCAGCTGAGGCCCTTTGCCTTCCCCCAGCAGCTGCCTTAATCAATATATGCTTGCACTACCAAAGAGGAAAGCTCTCTCTCATTTCCTGCCCTGCTCTCACTTTTCTCAGGAACCTCAGCGGGGAGTCAGTAGAATAAAGCGTGCCTGTGAGTATATAAACTCCCCTGTGTCTGGAATGGTCTCCAGCTACCCTAAACTGACATGCTAGCCCATGACACCCTAGCTTTTAAACATTTGTTAAAATTTTTTTGGTTTCATCTTATCCGCTTATAAGACAGCCACCCGTTTCCTGCGCTCTGCTAAAGTTGAAACAGTTCGTGTGTGTGTGTCTCTCTCTCTTGAAGAGGCTTTACTTGGTTGCCTGGTGACCTCAGCTTTCTGAGGGCTCAAGAAAAGCTGTGATTTTGTAGATTATCTGGCTATTCCTCATTGTTAAGGTGGCAGTGATGTTTTCTTGCAGCATTGTTCATCCTCAGCAGAAATACAAGTCCTCAAGTCACTGTCACCTCTTAGGGAACTGCAACCACCTCACAGCTGATGCCAGCACCCAATTTTGTTCCTCTCCGTGCTACACCCAGCATAAGTATTAAAATTTTGTAACCATCAGAAACTAAAAGGGGCTGCAAATTAGCTATAAAATCTGAAACCTAGGTTATGGTGTACACACGTACTCAGTGTCCAACTCTTTGCGACCCTACGTGCTGTAGCCCACCAGGTTCCTCTGCCCTTCATATTTTTCAAGAAAGAATACTGAAGTGGGTTGCCATTTCCTCCTCCAGGGGATTTTCCCAAGCCAGGGATCAAACCCACATCTCCTGTGTCTCCTGCATTGGCAGGCGAATTCTTTACCACTGAGCCACCAGAGATGCCCAGGTTATGGTGTACCAGTTATCTATTGCTGAGTAACAATCCAACCCAAGCCATGGTGGCTTAAACCATGACATTTACTCTGTTCATGAATCTATAGGGTTTGCAGGGACAGCTTGTCTCTGTTCCACTTGGAGTCAGCTGGGGTGGTTTGAAGGCTGAGCCTAAACTTGTTTGAATCACTGGGGTGGGAAGACTCAAACAACTGGGGGCTAAACTGTGGGAGCCCCTCTGGCTCTCTGCCAGGCCTCTCTTGTATGGAGGCTTTAACCCGGGTTCGATCCCTGGGTGGGGAAGATCCCCTGGAGAAGGAAATGGCAGCCCACTCCAGTATTCTTGCCTGGAAAATCCCATGGACGGCGGAGCCTGGTAGGCTACCTTCCACGGGGTCAGAAAGAGTCGGACACGACTGAGCGAGACCTCCATCAATTTAAACATGTCAAACCCATGGCAACTATAACCATCTTTCTAGATGCAATTCTGATCCTGTCACTGCCCCTCTTAAAATGACCCTTTAGCTCCATGTTACTCCCCAAATAAATTCCAAACTCCTGAACATGGCTTACAAGCCCTTCACACCTGGCCTTGTTTATTAATTTCCAACCTCACCTTTGATGCTGCCTCCCTTGTCCTTTATATGCCAGCTACCCTGAACCACTAGCCAGTATCCAAACTTTCTTTGGCCTTTTGTACTTGCTGTTTTCCTCTTCTGGGACTTTTCTCTGCCATCAGGCTCTTACGCCTCTCGTCTCTCCAGCTGCTATTCTTTTTTCTGGACTCAGCTTCCCTAACTTGATCTTCCTCCTACCTCCCACCTAACTGGCCTAGGGCTCTCATCTCTCCTTCCCATATGCTCTCAAAGCATTCTGTGCATGTGCTGAGGCCCTCCAGCACCAGTTAACCAGGCTGCATCACCCCCTCCATCGACTCACGTGGGAAGATAGTTTTATTTTATTCCCCACTGTGCGCAGTGCTTGAAGCATGGCAGGGGCTCAACAAATATTGGTTAGAGAAATGAATCTGTGCCTTAAATAGCCCAGTAGGTACAAGTAAACAACCCTCCCACAAGCCTGAGCTAGCTACGACAGGGTCCTGCTTGAATGTTATAACTGACATAGGGCCAAAGCTGGTTGGGAGAGTTTGGAACTTTCAGGAAAATATCAGCCGCTTTATATGGCTGGAGCTGTTCCTAACTTTGGGGGACTCATTCCAAGGCAAGGCCAGGGAGTAGCTCCAGGACATCTTTCCTCTTCTCACAACAGTCTTGGTGGGCAGGCCTGCCTGACAGGAACACACCTCGGCAACAGCTGGTAAGATGTTTGTTTACTTGCTGTGCTCCATCCAGAGCCTATTTCTGGAGCAGGTACTGGACGCAAGCCTGTGCCATTCCAGCACTGATCTTGCCAAGCCCTGAGCCAGGAGAGACAGCGGCAGTCACTTACCTTATCTCCCTGGCTCCAACCCAACCTTCTCTGGATATACCCAGTCATGACCTTTTTGCCCTGTTGGGAATTGCCCTTCTCTGCCACTAAGGTTTAGCAGTAAATATTGCTTCATGTGCTCTTTCTGTTTCATTAAGGACAAGAGGAAGGAAGAAAGTAAGGGTGATAAGAAAGGCTCTCTCAACTCATAAATTTTACTGATTTGAGGAAGTCTTAAGTGGAGTTCCTTGGGAGTTCCCAGGGTCAAAGGAAACAGATCAGCATTTTTAGCCAATAGAATTTTTGCCATGGTTAGTCTCATTTCTGAAAGGGAACTGGAATACTAAGAGGTCATTTGACTAATTTAAGTAAGCCACAGCATGGATAAAGATAGCACCCAAGACTCTTGGTTTCAAGTTTAGGACTGATACATCCATTGCCTAAGTTAAATTTATATTAAAAAGGTAGCTTTGGAAACTAATACCAAATTTTTTTTTTTTTTTTGGTAAATAGTTTCACCTTGTTTTTAGACCAATCACTTAAGTTGTCAGCTCTAAACCAATTAAGAAACCATAGTTACAAACCGCTGGACTCTATTCTGTGGAAGCCTGTCTCTGCTGAAGAGTGAAGTAAAAGGGCAGTCAGAGATCCAGGGCCTTCCCCTCACACCAGCCCCCGGTTTTCACCCTGGGCTAAACACCTTTCAGTCCTACAGTTCCTTCTCAATTCCTATAAGTCAACTCCACCTTTTTTAACAGTAAGATTCCTGTTACTTAGGTCGAAAATGGGAGGAAGGGAAAAGGCAAAGTTGGAATCCTGCCTGAATGAGAGTAACACTGTTTTCTGGTTCAGAAGCGTTCTCTAACCATCGATGAGCAGCTGCTCTTTGGGAGAATATTTCAGACCTCACTGCTTTTCTTCTTAAATTGTTGTTACTGATGAAGAATAATTTTGTTTATCATGCAAGGAGAAGGAAAAAAACTTTTTTTTTCCTTTCCTTTTTAAATTTATCCATCCATCTGAAAGCCATCAATCAGATGGCTCTGTAGGAAGAGTAAGGGCTGGCACCTGAACCAGGCAGAATTCTTTGCAAGCTTAGTCCAGGACCAGATGATTGTCAGTGTCTGGCTTCCTCCAAGTGTCTGGAGAACAGAGGGTCACTCACTTTGTCAAAGACATCCTACTAATAAAAGGCAGTAGGAATAAAGTTAACACCAGTAGTCAATGGCAGGGAAAAAAAAGGAAAATCAATCAGGAAATTATGACAAAACTATTCATACAACCTGGTTGGTTCCCATCCTTTTGGACAAGGCAAAACTTCTAATCTACCTGATTTAGAAATGAGCAAATGTTCGCTGGAGATTTTTGTGGCTACCTGTTTATCATTAGGGATTTGGAACCTATTACCCAAAACGAAGCTCCACTGGAACCATAACCCCAGAGATCCTACCCTCACAGCGCTGAAGTTTGGCTTGTCAGAGGGCACGTGTTAAAAAAGGAATCTGCCAGGGCTTCCCTGGTAGTCCAGTGGTTGAGAATCCGCCTGCCAATGCAGGGGACACCAGTTCGATCCCCACTGTGGGAAAATCCTACATTCTGTGGGAAGATCATACATGCCCAGGGGCAACTAAGCCCATGTGCCACAACTACTGAAGCCCACGTGACCTAGAGCCTGTGCCCCCCAAGAGAAGCCACTGCAAAGAGAAGCCCACGCACTGAAACTAGAGAGTAGACCTCTTCTCTGCAACCAGAGAAAGACTGCTCACAGCACAGCCATAAATAAATAAATAAACAAATCTTTAAAAAAAAAAAAACAAAACACAGTAATCTGGCAGAGGTTACCAGCTCTCCTGCACTGACATGCGTTTGTCTTTAACTCCTCACTGCCTGGAAGCACTTCTCTGGCAGGAATCGGGTTAATAACACCACACACACGGCTAGTCTGATGAGAAGAGTTTTATGTGGGCGATACAAACTGAACAAGAACACCATAAACAAGGAAGGAAGCACAGGCTCAGCCAGGAAAGTGGCCACAAGGAGCAGGCGTGGAATTATTCAGGAGTGGTTTCAAATACCAACACCATATTTACATGTCTAATTTGGAACCTGGCTCTTTTTAAGCATCAGAGGAAGTCAGGGGAGAAACCATGCATGAGATTAAAAATATATATACATGTATACACAGAGACACCAACATTTTCACACTTCTTTTGTTCATTTTCCCCACAAGAAACAATCAGACGAAGGAAAAGCCCAGCCTCTTTTTCCTAAAGTCCCTATATTTATTATGGAGTTGGCAGAGAAGCCCCAGCTGGGGCTTAGATTCAAGGAGGCAGACTTCACTCTCTTTGACCCTACACACCCCCGACAGTTTACCAATGGAACACTTGGAACATGGGTGGCAACGTTCAGAAGAGGCAAGAAAAAGTACAGCTCATTTAACTTATGCATTATACACAAGGGCATCAGTTTTTCCAAATACCTTCACACTTCATCCTTTACTAGGTTCTTAGCAGACTTCTCACCTGCAGCAACAGGGCTCAGACAAGCTGTGAGACATAGACTAAGGTGGTACTTTGATCCAGTGAACACTGGGTCAGTCACTTTATTCAAGACAGTCACACATGCCAGGCCCTGGCAAATCCTCAGGGGGCTGTGGCTTCGTGCTTGGTGGAGTGGAAGGCTGGGCTTTTTCCCTCCCTAGATACCTCCTTGCTGTCGCCGTCCCCGCCAATGAGTGCTCCGCTGTTCCCTCCGGACCCAAGACAGCTGCTGGGCGTGTATGTGTGTAATTTATTGTTCTGCTGCTGTTGGCTCATCCCCCGGCGCTGGCTTCTCAACCTGTGACTCTGGAGGAATCAGATACTGGATCTCCTCTGTACTGATGGCCACCTTATCTGGCTGGAGCCACCTCTTGAAATGTTCCAAGGTGCTAGGAAAGAAGAGGAGGGAACTGTGACTGCATCAGACTTCACTGACTAATTACTTAATGATTATCTCAGATACTCCAAGACTGCCTTCCCACCCACCACCAATTTCTTCCTGCAGTTGTTTTTCAGTGCTAACACGGGGTGGGGGCACAAATACTCCTCTGACAGCTGTGCATCCTGGCAGCTCCATGGTATAATTTACCCCCTAGTGGGCACTTGGGCGATACGCAGCACTAGGCCCCCCTTCAAATGCAGTTTCTGAAGACTTGATGAGAACAGCTGAAGAGCCTATGCCTGTCTGGTCTTCCTCCAAACTGGAGAGAAGAGAAATTTTCAAGGGGAGGAAACATTTCAAATAAATACCAAATTATTGCATGTTAAGTTGCTTCAGTTGTGTCCGACTCTGTGACCCCATGGACTGTAGCCCGCCAGGCTCCTCTGTCCATGGGGATTTTCCAGGCAAGAATATGAGAGTGGGTTTGCCATGCCCTTCTCCAGGGGAATCTTCCCAACCCAGGGATTAAAGCCACGTCTCTTATGCCTTCTGTATTAGTAAGGCAGAAACCTGAGCATCTTGGTATCTCTGATACCTGAAGTAGTCTGAGGCTCAATTATACTTACAGCACTTAATTGCACTAACTATGGTTTTTCGGGTGTTTTTGTTTATTTAGTTCATTCTATAGCAAGATGCCAAGATGGAAACATCTGAATAGCAATGTCCCCCACAAAGGAATGGGCACTACTCCAGGGGTCTCTTTTTTGTTTGGATCTGTGGGAAGGAGGAGGGCTTCCTTGGTAGCTCAGCTGGTAAAGAATCCACCTGCAATGTGGGAGACCCCAGTTCGATTCCTGGGTCGGGAAGATCCCCTGGGGAAGCGGTAAGCTATCCATTCTAGTATTCTTGGGCTTCTCTGGGGGCTCAGATGGTAAAAAATCCACCTGCAATGCGGGAGACCTGGGTTTGATCCCTGGGTTGGGAAGATGCCCTGGAGGAGGGCATGGCAACCCACTCCAGTATTCTTGCCTGGAGAACCAATCCCATGGACAGAGGAGCCTGCCAAGCTCCTCATGGGGTTGCAAAGAGTCGGACATGACTGAGCGACCAAGCACAGCACAGTGGAGAGGGGGAAGTATCCCCGCCTACCTTCCTTGAGCATCCAGAATTGTTCCCTAAAGGTATTAGACATTCACAGTAAAATACAAATGACTAGAAATAATGTAAAGCTCATTCTATGCTCTTCAACAGCAAAAAGTCATAAGCCAAGAAATAAGGCCATAACCAGCAGATTTCAGACACCTACAATGGGGGAATCATGTTGTGGACAGTATAATTTCCCAGCCCATCGCTCCCTTGCCAAAAGCATATGATGAGGAGGGGTCACCTATCTGGTCTTCACATACATGAAGAAACACACAATTCCACTACAAAATGGTCTGTGCTTAAAACATACACTTTTAGGTTTAAAACCAAATGCATATCTGTTTCCTGTGCTTGTTCTGAACAGAAAGAAGCATTCCCACAGATGGAGGCTCGGGACCATACTATGTGGGTATTTAATCTTCATCTACTACACGTTTCATAAAATAGTTCCAATTATTTCTACAAGGAATTATTTTAGGTATTAATAAATACACAGAAACATGAACTTGAGTCTCAGTGCTGATCTGATTTCAGAGAAAAAGAATTCCTATTTGAGAATTATGCAAGAGAAAGTTGTCATTGTTTCTCAGAACTAGAGAGGAAGGAAATATTAATATTAGACGGGAGAGAATATAATACCAAATTACTAGTGGCTCAGGAACCTGTGCATCTTCATCTTTTGTGTTTGAGTCAGTTTACTGGGAAAAGAAAAGAGTAAATTTTATATTATTTTCTGAACCCTTGGATGGAGCTGGCCTGACCTTAGATGCCATCCTGATTTCTGAAGGATCTGGGGCCACCTTGAGTATTTGAGATAATGTAAGTGAAAATACTTTGCAAGTTAAAAAATAAAATGTAACTATGAAGTTCTATTTACATACTGTCCATGATTTCAGCAGCTGTATTCATCTGATACCATGGGACTCTGAAAACCAATGTTAATGATAGGTTGTAAACTTAGGTTAAGTCATAGTCCCCTAAAACCTTGCGTTAAAATTCAGGTTTTTATTTCCCTCATTGACTTTAATTTTGAACAATTTCTTAGTGAATTTTAAAATTCTGTTAGGAAGAATAATATTAGGAATAACTAACACTTTGTACTGACCCTGTGCCAGGCACAAGTTCTAAGTGCTTTATACACAGTAACTCATTTAAGGCTTATAACCACCTTATGAGGTAAGAGCTACTACTCTTGCTTCACAGAGCAGGAAGCTGAGACACACATGGGTTACTCACCCAGTAAGTGGCAGAGCGCCTGTGCCCGGTGGCAAGCACCATGCTCTTTGTGACAGAATGCCCTCTCCTCCTTTCTGCATCTGGCCCACCTGCAGACACTGTTTCCCTTTGGTACAAAACCAGAGCCCAGAGGGAGCTCAATGGTCTTTCAACTCTTAAAGCACATTGTCACTTCTGCTCATCTGGCTCGTATGCTGCCTCATTTTGTTAGATGTCTTCATATATATTCTTCTCACCCCAAACTAGTTCCAAGGACCAAAAGAAGGGTCTAGAACATCGTTACATCTCCCCCTTCATGCCCATGACATCCAGCACAGTGCCTTTACACCAGAGATGCTTAAGAAATTCACACATTTATGTTACACAAATTTGAGTGTCTACAATATGACAGAAACTCTGTAAGACAGTGGAGATTCACAGGTAAGAAGACTTGGTTCCAGTTGTTGATTGATGACTAGTTTCTCAGGTGCAGTGTGTACTTAAAAATGAAGATGATGGTCAACTCTGTTGAACCTATGATCAAGATGTAGGTGGAGAATTTGCTTTTTGGCAAAAATATCCTTTCTCAAAAATTTACCTCTGGACTAAGAGCAAATAAGGCAATCTTAAAAAGGATGGTATTTAGCTCAGAAAAGTTGCTGTTGATATCAAATTATATCTGGACTCAGATGTCACTCTCCCTGACTTCTTTAGAGGAAGAGAAATGCTTTCGGTGAAACAGACTATCACCTGGAGCAGGACTAGGAATCAATTACCTCTCATCAGAATCAAGTCCATCCACAAAGAACTCAGATGCTAACTTCTCCTGGAGGAACCGGTCCCAGCATTCCTTCTTTGCTTGGGCCAGGGTTCGAAGCATGTCCTTGGAAGTCACTTCCTGATTTAAACCTTTGATTCTTCTCAGTTTCTTCTCTAAAGAGACAGGAAGTTGAGCTTAACAAGGAAATTGAATATGAAACAAAAGTAATCTAAAATGCAAAATGCCAAAAATTCTTATTGATGAATACAAGCACATTGCTCTCATTTTTTTAAGGACAAATGTACATTTTTCTTTTTCCTTCACAACATCTTCACTCTACATTGTATCAAACAAATGTTTAACTCCAGAAAAGGGAAAACCATAGCTTCTCATAAATAAACTGATGGCATATTTTCTTTGAAATCACAGAAGCCCAGCAGGTATCTCTCCAAGGAAAGCATGTTTTCCCTGGCATGTGATGTGTATACTGTTGTCTTTTTTCAACTCCTGAAAATAGTTTCTCTGAGGAGTAAATGGTTGGTTTTTTTTTTTTGTAACAGTGTCATAAAGTGGTTTTCAAACCTCATGAGAAAGAATCAGAAAAATGGAGAGAGATTCAACGGTTCATTAGACACTAAAATTAACTTGATGAGAACACAATAATAAGAGACCTTTAAGATCACGATGTGTGATTAAATTCTTGATTAAAGAAAAGGAATCTCCTAACAGTTTTTTCTGAAAGTTGTTCTACTTGTGGCCTGAATGTTGGAGACTTAATAAAAACAAACATCTTATAATCCCTGTGAGAGCAGTCCATATGGCTTCCTGACAATTCATGTTTAGTTACTCTTTGCAGTTTAAGTAAGAACACAAGAAAGAGGGACTTCTCTGGTGGTCCAGTGGCTAAGGATCCAAGCTCCCAATGTGGGCGGCCCAGGCTGAATCTTTAGTCAGAGAACTAGATCCTACATGGTGCAACTAAGGTCAAAGATCCTGGGTGCCTCACTTAGACCTGGTGCAGTCAAATAAATAAATATCTAAGAATAAAGAATCCAGAATATTACTCAACCATTAAAAAGAATTCATTTGAATCAGTTCTAAGGAGATGGATCAAACTGGAGCCCATTATACAGAGTGAAGTAAGCCAGAAAGATAAACACCAATACAGTATACTAACGCATATGTATGGAATTTAAAAATATGGTAACGATAACCCTATATGCGAAACAGAAAAAGAGACACAGATGTACAGGACAGACTTTTAGACTCTGTGGGAGAAGGTGAGGGTGGGATGTTCTGAGAGAACAGCATTGAAACAAGTATACTATCAAGGGTGAAACAGATCACCAGCCCAGGTTGGATGCATGAGACAAGTGCTCAGGGCTGGTGCACTGGGAAGACCCAGAGGGATGGGGTGGGGAGGGAGGTGGGAGGGGGGATCGGGATGGGGAACACATGTAAATCCATGGCTGATTCATGTCAATGTATGGCAAAAACCACTACAATATTGTAAAGTAATTAGCCTCCAACTAATAAAAATAAATGGGGGGGGGGGAGAATAAAGAATCCAAGAGAGGGTATCACCATTTGTCTTATGCCTTAATTTAGTCTTGCCTCCAACTATAATAAATGGGTAAATGACGGCTTTTTGGTGCTGATAGGTGGCCATAAAGCCCAGGACCAATAGAAACTTTATGATTCACAATCTGATTTTCATTTCTAAGCAAGCTGCATCAACTAGAGCCCACTTATCAAAACAAACACCTTTTGTTGCTACAAGTTACCATCAAAAGCTCACCATGTGAAAAAAAAAACAAAACCAACCTACAGTTGATAAATGTTAAATATTTGAGGAGTTTTTTCTCTCCAGGAGGATGTAAAAAGGATTATGTATATCTCACGTTGAATTGGTTAAAAGTTTTTAATTGTTGCTCTTAGTGGATTCTCTGATATAAGTTTATTTGGCAATAAAAACAACCTTTATATTGTCAGACCTTGTCAAGGTGGGAACTAGTCTTTGGGGCTGGAAAAAGTCTCCCCCTTTCCATGGGCTGAGTCCCTAGTTAGGTGTGATCAGGCAGAAACAGGCACCTTGCATCCTCCAAACCTGTCCTCCATTGTTACCCAGGCTCTGCCATAGGTAACAGAAATGCCTCTTTCTTTCTTCAGGGAAGGACATTTTAATCATCATGTTAACTGATTTTAGAAAAGATGAATGGAATTTTAACTTTCTGAACCAGTCTTCACCAATCAAAGATGTGACTGATTCCATGAAAGATTCTTCTTTTCCCAGGACACAGAGCCACAACAAGCCAGAGGATCTGGTTCCCCAGCTTCCTCAGACTGTTGCTTCTTCTCTTTACCATCACTGAAGACAGATTCTGGCTGCCATAACACAACTGTAACCTCTTTGGCCATTGCTGCATTGATGACTATCCTATTTCTGGTGGCTTCCCAACAAATTTCACATTACACCCTCATCTTTTTCACTAGCCATCATTCCACATGTGTTTTTCTCATATCTTTTTTTTTCTTGCATATCATTAACCAAAGGCCTTTTGTTTTTCCAAGACATTTCTTAGCAATATATAAACTCTATTCTGACTCTTCTTTCTGTCCTTCCTCAAAAGCTTCTTCCAGAACTGTCTTTTCTTCTTCAAATAATTATTCCCAGGTTTGGCTTGTGACACGTTGTGATGGGTCTCATGTTTCATAAAACAGGATATCACAATTCTGAAGTTTGGCGATCCTGTCCAAGACTGGATATTTGTCTTTCCCCTTTCAAGGGACAATCTGAATCTCTTTCCTGAGTTAGGAGTCTCTCTAAATACTTACGGCCATACAGATAAGTTGTGTTCAGGAAATATTATAAAAGTGAAATGGCTAACAAGAGGAAGAATGAACTTTATTGTAAATATGTTGTTGTTTAGTCGGGAAGTTGTATCCAACTCTTGCAACACCATGGACTGTAGCCCACCAGGCTCCTCTGTCCATGGGATTTCCCAGGCCAGAATACTAGAGTGGGTTGTCATTTCCTTTTCCAGGGGATGTTCCCGATCCAGGGATCAAACCTGAGTCTCCTGCATTGGTAGGCAGATTCTTTACCACTGAGCCACCAGGGAAGCCCATTATATCTATATACGCCCATCCCAATAATCATTCTATTAAATATAACAGTTTCTCAAACTGTAGCATCAGAAATAAAAATGGAGCTCTGGGGCCATGACCTTTTTCTTTCAGGAAGGCATAAGCTTTGACACTTTTAGGTAACCTGAATACATGAGCCACTAAGAGTAGGTAAGAGTGTTCTATAGAATGCCAACAAATAAAGCAAAATTTAGATGAAACAGAGGCCACAGATGACAAAGACTGTTTTAAGGGATGTACTGGGAAAAGGGGGCTCCTTCCCAAAAACCGAAACCCCCTGTAGAATTACATCTGACAGATACATGTGGTAAGGACAAAAACAAAAATTAAGAGTAGAAAACCAGATTTGATTTAATAGAACTTCAACATGCTTCGTTAAAACTTCCAGCTTCGGATTTAAAACAACAAACAAAAAAGCCATCTAACTTACCTAAAGATGCTAAATACACTTCTGAATCCTGCAAGGGAGCCCAAGGCTTTACAGCTGGCTGTGCTGCGAAGTGTGGGGCCTCCCTCTGGCCTGTGCCTGCAGGGTAAGAATCCATAAAGGAGTCTGAGAAGGCATTACTGGCACTGTCCTCTTGGTCAGGATGTGGCAGGCAGGAACAGATTTCAGCCCAAAGATCTGGGCCAGATCTTGTGGTTGTAGAGTCAATGCTTTCAAACATTTTCATTTGGAATCTGAGCTGAAAAACAGAACCTCAAGTGAATAAGAACTGACTTGGGAAGAAGGTTATAGCCTTTTAATTAGTTTCTCCTAACAAAATTTAAAATGTCTTCTATTACATTCTTATGTTATAGATAAAAAGATGACAAAAGGGTAACTGGGTTTCTCTTCTGGCTTTGCACTTGGGTTGTTTTCATAATGAAGTTTGTCTTTTAAAATAGAATTGCTATAAGCCAGACACAAAAGACTGAATGATTGAACGATTCCATTTTCATGAGGTCTCTGCAGTCAAACTCACAGAGACAGAAAATAAAACGGTGGTTGGGATGGGGATGGTAATGGGAGTTACTGTTTAATGGCCACAGAGTTTTAGTTTGGGAAATTCTAGAAATGGATGGTGGTGATGGCTGTGTAATAATGTTAATGCCCTGAACAATACATCTAAAAATGGTTAAAATGGTAAATGTACATTATGGATGTTTTACACATACGCGAGCACACACACAGAGGTATTTCTACAACATTTCCAGTGAGGACAACCGTCCTGCACTTTCCTCCAAAGATCTCCAAGATGCAACCACTTTGTCCTCAACCAATTAAGTTTTGAATGGAAAACAACAACACAAACCAAACCAAACCAAACCAAAACCCAAAATTTCCTTTAAAAAAATTTAAAAAATTAAGGCTTTACCGGCAAAAAAAAACCAAAAAACAATTAAATTTTGTTTTCAATAGGACACAGACTAAAGGTCCTGCACAGTTCCATACACAGTACACCAGGATAATAAAAATGTTGCTGATGAAGCCTGTCTGTCAGAGTACTGGCCCATGGGCTCATTGTATGGAGAAGCTGAGCTATATGCCTCATGTTCTTATTTAAAAAAACAAAACAGAAATATAGACATTTTCATCATTTTACAGATGAAAAAAATGAGGATCAGAAGCATAACTTGCCACAGACACATTACTGGTATAGAGTGAAACCCCTGATTGGAAACCAGACCCCCGCCGCTCCAAAAGCCATGTTTTTACCCAATAAAACTCAGCCTCTTTGTGACTATACTGAAAATAACATGAGCAGAGCTAAGAGGGAACAGCGACGCACAAAACCTGGGGGCTTTCATAACTATCTAGTCTAGAAGGATGAACTGACACCTTTCAGGAGGGACCTCTGAGATTAGGAAGGCTGCTTAGGAAAAGATCTGAATAATTTCAGGAGCGAGAACCCAGGAAGCTCAGGGCCCGGAAGTAAAAGGCCAGATGTCACGGAGGCCCAGTATGAACTGATGCCAAGGGTCACAATGAGGCTCCACTCCCATCCCGAAGTCGTTTGAACCCACCCACACCAAAACTTTGCTAGCATCAGAGCCCCGGTCACCCGGTCCCCACTAGAAAGTACCGTCCAGAACGGAGAAAGAACCCTCGTGTCCAGATCCGGGGCCTCAATCACTCCAGCCTCAAGGACTGGCTAGGCGGGACGACTCAGGCCCCGAGGCACCTCTGTGGTATCTCGGAATGCGGCCGGAGCCAAGGATAGAAAACGCTACGCAGCCCTGCGCCTCTTCCCCTTACCACGACTGCCAGCCAGCAGCCCGCAAACGCTCAGCTCAGCTTCTTTGCAGGCAGCAGGGAAGAAGTAGGGAGGCGGAGTCTCCAGGTGACGGATCCCGGGAGTCCTCCAACCACCGCCCAACCTAGCGATGTTCTGTGCGTCGATTGGTCGAGAGGAGCTCAGCTGGGTAAGGAAGTGAGCCGCATAGCGCTTCGGAAACGATGGGCGGACTGTCGTTGCCTGGATACGATAGAGAACACACCCTCCGCCCCTGTTTTCCAGGGGGCCAGGTTGATTCCACCTATATCAGGGCGTTCCAGCCGCGCGGACACCGCTTTCCACGTGTTTCCTGCTCGGATAGGGAAGCCCAGTCTCCAAGCCCTGACTTTTCTTGGTTCCCTGAGCAAGTTAGTCTCCTCAGCAGTTCTCTGGACTGGTGTTGGTCCCCGAAAATTTCAGACCTTCGACACGTAAATTAGAGAACTTATGCACCTTGAATGAGGGACGGAGGCGATTACTTTCCTTACTCCCACAGGAGATCCATGTCCTTTTCACCAGTTATGACGCTGTCCCACATTAATTTAGTCAATAAGCATCAAGCTCTGCTGTGTTCCAGGCATTGTGTAAAGAGGGAATTCAAGACAGGTAAGACTTGGTATGGATCCCAGCTTTATGGCTTAGGAGGAAGCGCCATGGAGACAGACACGTTTACAAATCACAGCAAAGAGTTAGAGAGATATGACGGAAATGTGGCCAGAGTACATAAAGGAGCCAGTGGTCATGGGAGGTGCGTGTCAGAAAGGCGGTTTTTTGTTTTTTTGGTTTTTTTTTTTTTTTGAGAAGATGACCTTTGATATCCTTGAGGGTTTCTCTGAGACATAACCCTCCCAACCTGATCTCCAATTTCCAGGGCTGATTACTGTCTCACAAAGATATATGTGAGAAAAGACAGTAGCCACCCATCTGTAGAGGTAGCTTGGCTGAGGGTATAGTCTCTAGATGTGTCTGAAGCTACTCAGTGTGGCTATGGTGGTGATAACTACCACCATGTGAAAGGCAACTACAGGGTACTCTTTTACTTACATTTATGACCATTCTGAGAATATGCAAACAGAAGGAAGTGGAAAGCAAGAAAGTTAGAAAACAAAGGAGCAAATAATAGGCAAGATTTTGCCAGTGCTTATTCACAGAGAATATATGAGGATGGGCAGTTTCCCAGAGTCCTCCAACTGCTGCCTGACCTGGGGACATGAATCTTGTAGCATCTGATTCATGGAAAGGATGACTGTCATAGATTTATGGGTGCTTCACTGAACTGCTGCATAGCCTTTCAACTCACTTATGAAGTTTTCTCTAATTTCCCGCTCACCAAAGAATACCCTCTTGATTTCAAATTTGGCCACCCGTATCTTACATATCTTGATATACCAGTATGAGGGTTCCTTTAACGTTAGGCACAAATAGTGGCTGATGTAAAATTGAATACACCTTTCAACTTAAAGTGACAATTGTAAATTAACAAATGGTCACCTCTTCTGATAGGGCTGCCCAGGTGGTGCAGTGGTAAACAGTCTACCTGCCAATGCAGGAGATGCAGTTTCAATCCCTGGCTTGGGAAGATCCCCTGGAGAAGGAAATGGTAACCCACTCCAGTATTCTTGCCTGAAAAATTCCATCAACAGAGGAACCTGGCAGGGTACAGTCCATGGAGTTGCAAAGAGTTGGACACCACTGAGCACAGCACACCCTTACTGATTCATCCATGTCGTTTGAGTTTAATTAGTGTGTGTGCTGAATAAATCCAAACCAGATCCCGGACTTGCAAAGCTGAAACCATAAGCCCTGATGATCTTCCTCTTCCCAAGGACTGCTCACACTTGGAAGCCACATGACAGCAGTCAATATCCTTCTATCTTAGGTATCTGTTTTCCCACAGTGTGATTAGTACAAATATGTTTTTTATTTGTATTCTCAACCAGTCTAGGCCTTCACTGAGGTCAGGAACCATGTCTTTTTTACCTTTGTATCTCTGAAGCCAAGTAATGCTTGGCAAATGTTAAAAATTTATTTGGTGTTTGAATGTTTAAATTAGAAACCTTTTGGTCAAAGACTACACTGAACTGGACCTAGACCTTGTGATTCACTCTTCAGTCTCTTCTCCAAGTGGCAACCAGGGTAATCTTTTTGGAATGAAAATTGAATCATCATCACACACACACACACACACACACACACACACACACACACACACATTGGATCATCACACACACAAACACACACACCAGAAATTCTTTGATAATTCCCCATTGCTCTTAAAGGCTTAAATTCTTATCATAGTAAGTTAGCTAGAGTTCTTAGTTCTAACAATAGAGCTCATTCTAGCCAGTTTAAGTAGTAAAAGGGATGAATTAAAGCTGCTCTGTATAATAAAATTTCTGTAATGATATAAATGTTCTGTATCTGAGTTGTCCAATAAGATATCCACTAGTTTTATGTGATTCTTGAGCACATGAGATGCAACTTCTGTAACTGAATAACTGAATTTTAAATTTTCTTTCACTTTAATTAATTTAAATAGCCACATTTGGCTAATGACTATTCAGTTGACCACAGGATTAAAGTATGTTAAACCGTTCACAGAATCTCAAGAGGGGCCAGAGTCAGACTCAGGGTCTACATAGCCAGGAGTTTCTAAACCTCAGTGAAGGACTTCTCAGGGAACACCGCAGTGCCACTCAATGTACATACTGCAGCTGGGCACTGGACACAGGAACTTCCCCCATGTTAGTCCCCAATATAACTCCATATAGCAATATACAAATCCCTCGAATGCTATCTTGTCAGACATGAATTCCACACTGCCTGCTTGCTCTGCTATTATGCCTCTGAACCAAAGGCCCTGCCTGATCAAAGGAGCCCAGGTGATGGATGCCCAAGTTGCTAGGGAGTCTGGGAAGGCCAGTTTCTAGATCCTACCTCTTGGAAACAGTATTTAATGTAGGAAATTCCCCACACAAAGAAGAGTGTTGAGAACACGCTAGATGTCCAAAGGGTATGAGAACAGTCTACTTTGCTTGGTTTATGTCAGTGCTTTCCAAACTTTAATATGCAGTCAGATCATCTGAGGATCTTGTTAAAATGGAGATTCTCACTCAGGGGCTCTGAAGGGAAGAGGAAAAAGATTTTGCAGTTCCAACAAGTTGCTGGATGTTTCCCACGTTGCTAATCCACAGACCACATTTTGAGCAGCAAGGCTTTATACAATTCCACAAGGACTCCCTCTCTAGACCTCTCTTATAGCTTTCTTCTTGTCTGTGTTTCAGACACATTCTGAAAGACACTCTTTCCAAAAACAAACACAAAAAACTTTATTGAAATATAATTCACACTCCATAAGATTCACCCTTTTGTCATGTGGCTGGTTCTCAGAGGTCTTGGCTTATCTTGATTTGGCTGTTTCTGAGCCTGTTCTCCAGCTTTCTTATGAATCCTATGAGGCACCAATATCCTTTCAATAATTCCGTCTCTTATGAAGTTAACTGGAGTTGGTTTCGGTATTTTGCATTTAAGAATTCTGACAAATACATCTTCTGATCCACTTGGAGCTTTAATCTCAGGACAGGACCATGTGGGAAGGCAAATGGGAGATCTCTAGTCCTCATGCTGTTAAGGAGAAGGACAAATGTAAAAATATTTTTTCTGGGGTGTGTGTGCTTAATTACATATATGACAGCTTTGTTGAGTTACAAAAAGTGGAAGTTAGTCGCTCAGTAGTGTCCGACTCTTTGGGCGATCCCATGAACTGTAGCCTGCCAGGCTTCTCTGTCCATGGAATTCTCCAGGTGAGTGTACTGGAGTGAGTTGCCAATTCCTTCGCCAGGGGATCTTCCCAACCCAGGGATTGAACCCGGGTCTCCTGCATTGCAGGCATATTCTTTACTGTTTGAGCCACCAGGCAAGCCCTTATTGAGTTCTAAGTCACAAAACATGCTTACCCTTTAAAGTATACAACGCAGTGCTTCTTAGTACATTCAGAGTTTAGCAATCTTCATTTTGTTTTGTTTTGAAATATTAGTAACTCTTTCAAGAGTTTTTCCAGAGTAAAGGAACTTCGAGTATATCGACAAGGAATCTACACTTTTAATGAGTCATTCTTACAGCTCTCAACTCATTCAGCTACCTCCTTCATGCCTGTTCTCAACGCGGTCCCGCCTCGGCACTAGGTCTCACTGATTGGTTGGTGCTGAGTGACGCCCTCAGATCGCGACCCAGAGGCCGCGGCCGCTGGGTCATGTGGCTGGGAGGCCGGTCGTGGCTACCGGTTCTTGGGCAAGTGTGCTCTAGTCTCCGGTGCCTCGCATTTGCCAGGACTTGGGGTGCCTGTAGGGGACCCATGGCGGAAAGACTCTCGACCGGGGCTGAGGCAGCGAGCGGGCTGGGGGCTCCAGCTCAGCAAAACGGAGATGCGGGCGGCGACGCGAGGGGTGAGCAGCCCCCTGGGCACCCGGAGCCGGCGGGTTCAGAAGTGGAGCCGGTCTCGGGGGACGCGAAGCAGCCCTCAGGAAACGGGGAGCGGGCCCCGGCTGCAGCCCCGGGCCCTGGCAAGCGGAAGAAGCGGCGTGGCGCGGTTGGAGAGCGCGTTGTGCCGCCCCCGAAGAAGCGGCGGGCAGGGGTTAGCTTCGGCGACGAACACTTTGCTGAGACCAGCTACTACTTTGAAGGCGGCTTGCGCAAAGTGCGGCCCTATTACTTTGACTTCCGGACTTATTGCAAAGGCCGCTGGGTGGGCCACAGCTTGCTGCACGTCTTTGGCACGGAGTTCAGAGCCCAGCCCCTGGCCTACTACGAGGCCGCTGTCCGGGCGGGACGCCTGCACCTCAACGAGGAGCCGGTACAGGACCTCAGCATTGTGCTCAAGGTGGAGTCCTGATGGGGCCTGCCGGAAAGGGGGCATGTTTTTTTCGGTTACTTGGGCATAGGTACCGGAGTAAATTCGGGGTCATTCTGAAGTGTTCTTGTTTTAACTTGTAACACTCTTTTACCGCTCCATTTCCGCAGGTAGACTGCCCATATGTTTCAGACCTCAGCCCCCTTATCCCTTCCATCAAAGCGACTTTGCTGTTTCCGAGGCACAGAAGTTGGAATTCTTGTGAAAGTGAAAGTTAGTCGCTCAGTCGTGTCTGACTCTGCGATCCCATGAACTGCCAGGCCTCTCTGTCCATGGAATTCTCCAGGCAAGAGTACTGGAGTGGGTTGCCAATTCCTTCTCCAGGGCATCTTCCCAGCTCAGGGATTGAATCCTGGTCTCCTGCATTGCAGGCATTCTTTACCGTTTGAGCCACCAGGGGAGCACCAGGAATTCTTACCGCTCCTTTTATGCAGTCCTGTGGCACTGGCACTGATGACTTTCTGCCTTGCATTGTAGATCTCTGTACAAATAGTAATAATCGAGACTATCATTTATATCTCCTGACTGTGTGCTGGGCACAGCATTAAGCATTTTATGTACTTTAACATTTAATTCTAATGACAACCTTGTGGAGTAGATACTGCCACCTCATTTTACCCGTGAGGAAGTCGAGGAAACTAAGATCAACCTCATAGAGGTAAGACACAGTGCCACCTCCAACACCTGTGTTCTTATAAGTGAAGTGAAGTGAAAGTCGGTCAGTCATGTCCGACTCTTTGCAACCCCATAGAGTATATACAGTCCATGGAATTCTCCAGGCCAGAATACTGGAGTGGATAGCCTTTCCCTTCTCCAGGTGATCTTCCCAACCCAGGGATCGAAGCCAGCTGTCCCACATTGCAGGGGGATTCTTTATCAGCTGAGCCACAAGGGAAGCCCGTGTTCTTATAACTTCCACTTGATGTATTTGTCCTAGAGCCTGATAGGATAGAACTGTGAAATGACAGAGATTGAAACTAGAATTGTGTAGCCCAGTGCTTTGACCCTACTTTAAATTTCTATCACAGCTAAGAGGTACCAGACACTGTCATTAACTGCCTCACCATGGTTGTGAAGGGATGCAAGGCATTTGGAGAATGAGTGGTTTGAATCAGTCAGTTTTGAAGCACAGGTCTGGACTGATGCTCACATTTTACAGATAAGGGAACTGAGGCCTAGAGAAGTTAAGTGACTTCCGTAAGAGCATGCAGTAAGCCTGTAGCAAATCCAGGTCTACAGCCGAAATCTCTGGACTTAACAGCTTGGTGTTTGTTCAAGGTCACAATGAGTGATGGTGTATGGAGGATTTTCCCCTTCATTTTAGAAGACTATATTGTTAAATATAACTTTCTTGTAGAGAAAATATGAATAATCAGTACAGCAAAATCCATAATCACACTATCCAGAGATATATGACATTTTAGGTGTATCCTTCTAGCTTTCTCAATGCCTGCTTCTGCCTGTGTGTCTGTGTGTTTACAAAATAAGAATACACTGTGTATATTGCCTTTTCTGCTTAAGGATGTACTGTGACCATTCTTTCATCCAGTAAGGAAGATGGGGGGAAGTTGTGTGTGAAGTTGACTGATCATAGGTGGCTGGACCCTGGGCTGACCAGTTGCCTGTGTCATTGGCAGGACAATGACTTCTTACGGAACACAGTGCATAGGCATGAGCCACCAGTTACAGCAGAACCCATCCGCCTGCTAGCGGAGAACGAAGATGTGGTGGTTGTAGACAAGCCTTCTTCCATTCCTGTCCATCCCTGTGGCCGCTTCCGACACAACACTGTCATCTTCATCCTGGGCAAGGAGCACCAACTAAAGGAGCTACACCCATTGCATCGGCTTGATCGCCTTACCTCCGGGGTCCTCATGTTTGCCAAAACAGCAGCCGTCTCAGAGAGAATTCATGAACAGGTTCGGGACCGGCAGGTGAGCCAAACTGAGTTTGCCTCTTGCAGGCCACTTCTAGGCTCACAAATGCTCTGCATTGAAAGTGTGTCACCGAGTTCTAGATCTGAAGTGAGCCTCTGTGTTTATCTGCTCAAGCTTCCCATCTTCAGGAAGGTCAGCACTTAAAGTGCCAGAGACACGTTATTTTCTCTGAAGTTTCAAAAGATCTTTAGAGATAACATATAGTACCTGTCTTGGTAATTTGCTGTTTTGAAAATTTTAAATGCTGACAGGCTGAGCAAGGTTTTTAAGACTGTGGAGAGAGTCTCCTTGGTGGAAAGATTCTGGATAGAGTTGTAAGAGGTTTGGGTAGAAGAGTTAAATAGTGGTGATTGTGGTCTTGAGACTTGTAATTCTGGATCTGGTTATAATATATTTATTGTTTACTGTTTACCAGGCTCAATACCAAGTATGTTAGAGCCCAGCTGACTAAATCCTTGGAATAGCCCTGTTGAGATAAATGCTTTTCTAAGCAAACATTTTCTAGACAAGGGGTTTTAAAGAAGCTGAGTACTGTAACGTGCCTAGGATTGTGCAACTGGCAAATGGTGGAGCTGGGGTTTGAGCCCTCTCTGTCTGATACGGGTGCATTTGTCATCACTGAAAAGGGTTTGGGCTTCACACACTGACTTTCTCCCTCTTCCCTCCTGTGTAGCTGGAGAAGGAATACGTGTGCCGGGTGGCAGGGGAGTTCCCCGCCGAGGAGGTAACCTGCAAGGAGCCTATCTTGGTGGTGTCTTACAAGGTAGGGGTGTGCCGTGTAGATCCTCAGGGCAAGGCCTGTGAGTCAGTGTTCCAGAGACTGAGCTACAACGGCCATTCCAGTGTGGTACGGTGCCGGCCACTTACAGGCCGCACCCACCAGATCCGAGTCCACCTCCAGTTCCTGGGCCACCCCATCCTCAATGACCCCATCTACAACTCAGCCGCCTGGGGCCCCTCACGAGGCCGAGGCGGCCACATCCCAAAGACAGATGAGGAACTACTGCGGGACCTTGTGGCAGAGCACCAGGCCAAACAGAGTCTGGATGTGCTAGATCTCTGTGGGGGAGACCTGTGCCCTGGACCCCCAGACTCTACAGCACCTTCCTCAGAGCTCAGCAAGGACTGCCTAGAAGAGATGGCTATATCTGCCCAGAAGATGGATGGAGCCGTTGAGGCAGCCCCTCGGGATCTGGACGGGGTGCCTGTGGCATCAGGGAAGGCAACCAAAACGGGTGTTGTGAATCAAGAGACAGACCCACTCTGTTCAGAGTGCCGGAGAGTGCCACAGGATCCCTCGCCCCAGGACCTTGTGATGTTCCTGCATGCCCTGAGCTATAAAGGGCCAGACTTTGAGTACCATTCACCAATGCCTGCCTGGGCACGAGATGACTGGCAAGAACACTGAGGGCTATGGCCAATGGAGGGATTATTTATTGGATTGGAACACGAGTGGGCCATGAAGTAGGAGCTGACTACATGGGCTGGTACTCAAGAGTTTCCCGGGGGTGAAGTTGCTCTTAAAGGACCTGCTCATACTTGCTAACTTCTTCCTTCCTTTCCCTCCAGCTAGAGTTTGTGAACTTTCTGCTTTGTAAATAGAGCTCTTTTTCTAATACCTTGTGTGTCTAGTTTTCTCACTACTTGTTTCTTTTTTTCTTTTTTTTAATTGAAGTAAAATTCACAGCACAGTTCCCATTCTAAAACACAATTTAGTGGCCTTTCTTACATTCACAGTGATGTGCGGCCCTCACCTCTTAATTAGTTCCAAAACATTTCATCACTCAAAAGGAAACCCATACTCATTAAACAGGCAATCCCCATTTCCTCTTCCACCTAGCTCCTGATTCCATTAGCCAATCTTCTGTCTTTAGGGTTTTGCCTATTCTGGACATTTCATACAAATGGAATCATACAACAGGTGACCTTTTGTGTCTGTCGTCTTTTGTTTAGCGTAATGTTTTCAGGCTTCATCCAATTTATAGCATGCATCAGTAAGTAGTTCATTCCTGTTTAAGGCTGAATAATATTTCATTGCATGGATATACCACATTTTGTTATACCCATTCATTGGGCATCTGGGTTGTTCCCGCTTTTTGGCTATTGTGAATAGTGCTGCTATGCACATTTGTGTACAGATTTCTGTTATAATACATGTTTTCTGTTCTTTCAAGTATATACCAAGGAGTGGAATTGCTGGGTAATATGGTAATTCTTTAATTTTTAGGGGAATCACTAAACTTTTCCATAGTAGCTGAACCATTTTACATTCCCATAGGAAATACACAAGGGTTCCAATTTATCTCCATCCTCACCAACACTTGTTATTTTCCATTGTTTTGATTATAGTCATCTTAGTGGGATTGAAGTATTGTTGTGGTTTTGATTTGCATTTCCCTTGGGACTAACAATGTTAAACATCTTTTCACATGCTTGTTGGACATTTGTGTACCTTCTTTGGAGCAATGTCTATTCAAACTTTTTGCCCATTTTTAATTTGGATTGGCTTATTGTTGAATTATAAGAATATATATTCTGGATATAAGACCTTTAAGAGATATATAATTTGCAAATATTTTCTCCCATTCTGTAGGTTGTCTTTTCACTTTATTGGCAGTGTCCTGTGACTCGCAAAAGTTTTTTTTTTTTTTTTTTTTATGGTGAAAACACTTAATGTGAGATCAGCCCCTTAACAAATCAGTGTGTACAATATGATACTGTTAACTATAGGCACAGTACAGCATCTCTGGAACTTAATCATCATGCATAACTGAAACCTTATACTTGTTGAATAGCAGTTCCTTATTTCCCCCTGCCCCCAACCCCTGACATCACCATTCTACTCTCTGCTTCTGTGTTTATTTTAAATACCGGAAAAGAAAAACTCCCTTTTCTTTATTCACAGAATACTCTGTACTTTTAAAATACATGGTGGTTTCCCCACATCAGGCAATTCTCTAACACAGGCTGGGTATCCTACAATCTGACTCACCTCTGACACCATCTACCCAGAGATAGGGTCAGATCCCACAAATTGAGGACTCAGTCCCACAAAACTTGTCCCCACTTCTAATGACAATGGCAGGTCCAGATTGTTACCTGTGAATCAAAGATTCCCACAACCCCCTCCTCGGGTTCAACCATTTATTAGGATAACTCACAGAATTCAGGAAAAGTTTCCTTTCTTGATTTGTGGTTTATTACAAAGGATATTAAAGGCTAGGAAAGACCAGCAAGATGAAGAGAGATGTAGGGCAAGGTTTGGAAGGGTCTGAGCAAAGGAGCTGCTGACTCCATAGAGTTCAGGTGGGTCACCCCCCGGCATGTGGATGCTTCTTGTTCACTGACTCAGAAGCTCTCTGAACCTAGTCATTAGGGGTTTTCTGGGCCAATGACCTTTTATTTAGCCCAAAGAGAAGTATGAAAAACTTTCTATTCCACAGTACCACAATCAGAAAAGGAATTACTGCCCTTGTTTCTAAATCTATGGATTACCAGTCATGTCCTCAGGTCTTGCCATCATCCATTAATTTCACCCTATGGAAGTTGAGTTTGACCCAGTTTTATTTCATTCTGAAGATCTCAAATGAAAATTTTGAAATTTGAAATCTCGGGCATTGCTCATTCTCACTATGATGAGGAAAAGTTTAACTGTTCCTTGCTGTCTATTCATAGCTATCTTTGCAGAAGTTACAAAGCATGGGCTATAGAAAGTGTTATTCCCCATTTCCCCAATTCTATTGGCATTTATTCATTTGTCTTCCCCAAGCAAGTTTACTATAAGCTAGATTTCAATCTTTGCTCTATTGATCTTCAATATGACATACTGTTTAGTTTTCAGCTTACTAGGCATTCCCAGAAGTTATTTTGGCAAGGTAGATGTTTTCATATGATAGCATGAAGCTAAGGGAATGATTTGAGAAAAAAGTTTTGAGTTGGTGTTGCAGACTCAGAGAATTCCTGGATTCATTCTTGAACCTCTTCAGGCCTTGTTGGAGCTTCCCTCATAGCTCAGTCAGTAAAGAATCTGCCTGCAGTGCAGGAGACCCAGGTTCAATCTCTGGATTGTGAAGATTCCCCTGGAGAAGGAAATGACAACCCACTCCAGTATCCTTGCCAGAAAATCCCGTGGACAGAGGAGCCTGGTGGGCTACAGTCCATGGGGTTGCAAAGAGTCGGGCCCGACTGAGCGACTAATGCATCACATCACAGACCTTGTCATGACTGTCTTCCCAGAGATGGTTCCCAGTGGGATTACACTTCCTAATGGTAAGGAATAGAAGGATTTAACTTACATCATTGCCTACCTCTCAAAACCAACCTTTGCAAGTCTTACAGCCCTGGGTCTGGGTTTTTCTTGTAAGAGTTTAAGAAATGAACTGGAGGTGTGCACGTGCACACACACACACACACACACATACACATTTCACTTCTTCCTTCAGAACTTTGTCTGTGAGGGAGGCTGACACATAAGGGCCTGCCCAGGCAGCAGACCATCACCAACTAAACACTGGACAATTTTTTCCAGAGCACCTCATTCTCCACTGAGAATGGGTCTTCTTGAAGCTGGACTCTGAAGATTCATTTCCTGGCACTGAAATAATAAAGAGATCTGGAATATCTTGGTAATGCAATTTGGCTGTACAATAGTTCTTTCTTTTCTGGTCTTCCAGAGGTTGAAGGGTCCTGCAACAGTTCAGGATAGGACTTATGAAGAACTGGTGCTGATGGAGAATGATTTCCTTGATCTGTGGCTTGTGACAAATTTGGGGCGGCAATGGGAATCTTTCAAATTGTATTAGCAGATCAGGCAGAACTATCTTGTCCAAGTCTTCAGTTGCAGCTCCTCCAGTAGATGGCGCCTCTAACTCTTACTGCCTTCATTTATTATAAATTTCTTTTTCCATTACTAATCCAAGTCCCCACACCACCACCCCTGGGCTTTTAAATAATCTGGCATGTTGTTAATCCTTTTTTTTTTTCCAGCTGTGACTCCAGACAGAATCCAAGAGGAGATTTACAATCTTTTCTCTGGATTTTAGAGCTTATTCTACCTTTCTGTGTTAGCCTTAATCCTTTTGAGTCTTGTAGAAAGAGGTAAAATAAGCACAACTCTTATACATCAAAAGATCACAGAAATGCAAAAAAACTGGGACCATCATAGCAAGACTTACTGCAATTTCATATGAAAGAAACCACAAATGAACTAAGCATGAAAACAGGTAAAGAAATGAGGAATAGAAAAGTGAACTTCCACTCATGATTTCTTCTTTTTAATCTCAAGACACTTGCAGTGCTTTATAGTTTCAGAATTTTTACAACTTAAGATCTTCCTTTGAGAAAACAACCCACTCACTTTTTATTTATAGAGACTGGACACATTGATAGACCTTATCAATTTTCCGTAGGATGTCATCACTGTGAGAAGCAGGTAAAACTCAGAAAAATGATGCAAACGTGCCACTCTTTGGAGAGGTCAAAGTACCAATGAAAGATTTAAATACCATCTGGCAAATGCTGAGGAAGACACACGGAGCTCCAGGAACATCTAGGAGGGGTACAGAGACCCAGAAGCAGAAGAGCACGGACTAGGCGAGAGAAATCTAAGAAGGAGCTGCAGGTTGCAGGGCTAGGAAAGTCTTCCTGATGGGGAATGACGTCAAAGCTGAGATCTGAAGGAGGAGCAGGAGCCAGCCAGGACGGGGTTGATGGGAAGGAGGTGCTGGGCAGCAGGAGCATAATCCAGGGAGAGGAGTAAGTAAAGCGTCTGCAAAGGTGTCCGGGAGACAGAACAAGGCCTCATTTAGGGGAGGGGTTTTAAGACTGATGTGTTGAGGACACTTCAGAAAATCCCTCAGGAGCTCTTAACCTTTTCTTGTGACACAGATCTTGGGCAGTCTGGTGAAGCCTATGGGTCCCTTCTCAGAATACTGGTTTTAAATGCGTAAGATTAAAAATAATAATAATGCATGATTAAATTTGTTGTAATATAAAGTCAACCAATTATGTTGGAATACAGTTATCAAAATAGTTTTAAAATCTGTGATTTAATTCCAGATGAAGTCAGAAAGAGAAAGAGAAATACCATATGATATCACTTACATGTAGAATCTAACCTATGTGTGGAATCTATGACACAAATGAATTTATCTACAAAACAAACAGGCTCACAAACATAGAGAACAGAGTTGTGGCTGCCAAGAGGGAGGAGAGGACGGAAGGATGGATTGGGAGTTTGGGATTAGCAAATGCAAACTATTATATATAGAATGAATAAGCAACAAGGTCCTACTGTATAGCACAGGGAACTACATCAATATCCTGTAATAAACCATAATAGAAAAGAATATGAAAATGTATGTGTATATATATATATATGAATTATTTTGTTATACAGCAGAAATTAATAAATTATAAATCAACTATAATAAAATTAAAAATAAAAAAATTGGTGACCTAATAATACAATGCATACACTTCCTTATGAATGCTTAAGTTTACAAGATCTAATGGTAGGTCCAATAACTACCAGTATCTTGAAGTACTATAGCAGTAATGAGCATAAAACAATAGCAGTAGTGCATATTGCTAATATGATACAACAATATCTGTTATTTCAGTTGGTGACAAAAATCACAGGCAAGGTTAATATTACTGTATTTTGTTGCTTACCTTTATTAATAGAAGGACATGCTTTCAATTAGAGATTAATGAAGATAAAGCTGCAATTTTTTTTCTCTCAACCAAATGACCAATTCAATTCTATCCATGGACCCCTTGGGAGTGTGTGGAACCCAGGTTGATATGCTTTCAAGCAACAGGGTGGTAAATGGATTAGAAAGCCAAGTGCTTGGGTGACCCTCAGCCCTCAGCTCTGGGAGCTATCTACATTCCTAAGGGATTTGGATTGATGTGGGAGGAGTCACTGGAGCCTGATTTCCACTCTCAGGGCTGAAGATATCTGCCCAGTGTCAGGTTCTGGGGTACCTTTTACTTATTTTTTTTTTCTGGGGTACCTTTTAATGCAGAGAGAGTGTGTAAACCATGACCACAAAGGATTGATGAGTGCTTTTTACTAATTTCCAGCACCATATAGGGTGATGGTTAAGGGCCACCAGAATTTGATAGACTTAAGTTAAATGCCTTTTCTGGAATTAACAAAAGCTGTATAACCTTGGACAAGTTTATCTTTCAGTGTCCTCATCTGTAAAATGTAGTAACAAACATGTCTATCGTGATCTATTGTGAATTAAAGTGCTGTAATTCATTGTGGTGCCTGTAGATAAATACTGGATAAATGACGTTTGTTAAATGTGAGTTGAAAGATTCTGCCTGATGACCTTTCAGGAGAATCTCTCTTCTTTTTCTATTCCCTCTCTGCTTAAATCCAAGAGAAGAATTAAAACTTTCTTCTCTGGGAAGGCAGCTATGTCTTCACCTCTGTCTTCTAGATAACTACCAAGTTTCCAAGTGCTGTCAACATCTTTGTTTAACGTTGAGTACTTTTCTTGAGCTCCTGCAGCCTGCCGGGGACTGAAAGAGAACTCACGGTAGCTTTTGAAGTAAAATCTGATATTTCATAGTAACGACAGGTATGAAAAACGCTGGGGTCAGAGTCCAAGATAACGGAAGTTCCTCAATCAGGAGCTGGGTTAATTAATACTGAGCAGACCACCATTGGAACATATATAAATAGCCATAATCGTGGAATTCTATGCACTGTTTTTTGCTACATTAAAAATACACTAAATGCATTATTTAATTAAACTCTGATTCCCAGAAAATGTCTCTTTCCCTCCTTTTTCTTTCTACGTGAGGTAAGAATGCTCCAAAAGCCGTTTTTCAAGAGTCAAACTGGACGTTTCAAAGTCGACTAGTAAATCACACTTTGCAATGAATAATCACCTCTTTCCATTCTGCAAGGAAATTTACCGTCATCGGTTCAAATCAGTGGCCAAAAACAAACAAAAAAGAAAAACCTACATCCGACGAGGATGGGATTCGAACCCACGCGTGCAGAGCACAATGGATTAGCAGTCCATCGCCTTAACCACTCGGCCACCTCGTCCCAGAAATCTACTCCTTCCTGGTAACTATAGGGAGTAAAACTAGGGGGATGTGACGCAATGCTATGGGAGCCGCCATTTTGTACGGAAGCAAAGCTCCGATCTTTTTACAGCAAGAAATAAAAAGAAGATGGCCGCTCCTATGCAGTGAGGAATCTGCAGTGGGGAGAGATAAAGGAAAATTCCGTAGAAAATGAGATAACCTTGAAATAAATAAAATTGGCATACAAACTGGGAAAAAACTTTGATTGAAGAAATCTTAGGGAGGGTCTGCAGCCTAAGGGGCGGGGCCGACGCGTTGAGCGGCTTTGCGCCTGCGCTTCAGCTAGGCGGTTAGATTTGAATGCTTTACTGAGGTCCTCTAGGCGTTATGAGCAGACGTGAAGGGGTGGGGGTGAGCTATCTGAGAAGCGTGCGGACCACAAACAAGTGTGAGGAGAATTTGTGAAGCCGTTGGGGCTTCACAAATGAAGCGGCGGGTAACTTTCGTCCTGGTCTTCGCCCGCGGGATTTAGGTTTTGTTAGAGCGGATTGAAGGCCTCACGCTGGGAGGAGAGGGACGCGCCTACAGCCAGACTGCCTCGGAACTCTCTGGGCTCAGGTACGGACGCTTCTCTCCCGGTGCAGGACTCCCTCTTTTTTCACCTCGGCCTACACTTGGGCCACCTCTCACCCCCCTAGCAGTCTCCACACCTGGGCCCCACGAGCGGCCCTGGGTCGCTGGCCCGCGGCTCTCTCCGCATCCCGCCCCGCCATCTTCTGTCAGGGCTCCAGGACTGTCCCTAGAACCTACCTCCTTTTCCCTTCTTTGGGGAACTCACGGGTGTTTGCATTTCTTCTTACTCAGTCTTTTCTTAGCTATAAATGAAGTGACAGAAATGTGATTTTGAACTCTCGGTTTATGGTTTATTTACAGTGTCTGATCCGAGTGCTAGCGGCACTGAGCAGATTTTGAGTTTTCTGCGGATGTAATAACATAAATAAAGCCAGTATTGGTACGCCACAAAGTTTTTAAAAAATCTTCGGTGCATTATTAAGCCAGAGTTAAGGAATCTTTTCTTGCTGTTTGCCTTAATAGTAGAGTTTAAGAAAAAAGTTCTAAAAATATATGTTTTGTCGATTGGAATCTTAAAGATAGTTTTATAGAGATATGACAGAGAAGACCAAAGCAGAACTTACTTTAGGTATTAAGATTGAAGTTTTCAGTTGAATTGGATCAGTCGAATGAATTCCTCAGATATGTATTGGATTCCTTGTTGTCTTGTGCGAGGGTTGGGAGGAGATGATTCAGTCCCTCATCTAGAATTTACAGTCCAGAACGGGAAGGAATTAATATACACAGATAACTGTAAAGCAAAACACTGTAAAGGATTACAGGACATTCTAAAGGAATGTGGGAACCAGACCAGCTTATTTGGTGCTTTTCGGTAATGGAGACAGAGGAGGCTTCTTGGAGAAAGTGGTATTTGAGGTGGACCTTGAAGGAAAGAATGATTTGAGATGAGAAGTTAATGTACCGTAAAGGTTGGATTCCAAGTGGTATGACTTTTCTTGACAATGTGAATGGCTGGAAATGTTTACAAGGTGACAAATAGATGTAAACTGAGTGAAAAATACTTGGATTGGTAATATTAATGATGTGTTTGATGCTAAGTAAGAGACAGTAAAAGATACCCTAGATATTGGTAGTAGGACAGTGCTGTCCAATAAAACGTCCAGTGTTAAAGGTAATGTTTAATTTCTGCATTGCCCAGCATGGTACTCATTAATTTCATATGACTATTGAGCACCTATTAGCATCAGGGTGGCTAATTGTGACAAGAATGGTATTTAAAATTTTATTGCATTTTAATTAAATTTAAATGATATAGACTTCAGATCTGTACTATCTGATATAGCACAGGTCTAGAGTCTATATCATTGGACACTATGAAATACATTAACTGTTGTTCAGTGGCTCAGTCGTGTCTGACTCTTTGAGACCCCATGGACTGGAGCAAGCCAGGCTTCCCTGTCTTTCACCATCTCCCAGAACTTGCTCAGAGTCATGTCCATTGAATCGGTGATGCCATCCAATCATCTTTCTCAGCGTCAGAGTCTTTTCCAATGAGTGGGCTCTTTGCATCAGGTGGCCAAAGTATTGAAACTTCAGCCTCAGCACCAGTCCTTCCAATGAATATTCAAGGTTGATTTCCTTTAGGATTGACTGGTTTGATCTCCTTGCTTTCCAAAGGATTCTCAAGAGTCTTCTCCAACACCACAGTTCAAAAGCATCAATTCTTCGGCGCTCAACTTTCTTTATATCCAACTCTCACATCCATACATGACTGCTGGAAAAACCATAGCTTTGACCATGTGGACCTTTGTCGGCAAAGTAATGTCTCTGCTTTTTATTACACTGTCTAAGTTTGTCATAGCTTTTCTTCCAAGGAGCAATCGTCTTAATTTCATGGCTGCAGTCACTATCCGCAGTGAATTTGGAGCCCAAGGAAATAAAATCTATCACTATTTCCATTGTTCCTCCATCTATTTGCCATGAAGTGATGGGACCGGATGCCATAATCTTAGTTTTTTGGATGTTGAGTTTTAAGCCAGCTTTTTCACTCTCCTCTTTTCACTTTCATCCAGAGGCTCTTTAGCTCCTCTTCGCTTTCTGCCATAAGGGTGTTGTCATCTGAATATCTGAGATTATTGATATATACATAAATTGAAAGAAAAGATATTTTATTCTTAAATAATCACAATTATTTGATTAGATATGTGCACCTGTTTATAACTGAAAATAGTGTCCAACTGCTTACCGCTCAAAAGTCAATAAAGAGGCAAGGTTGGTGGAAAGGAAAGTTTGCTTCTTTTTGGATGCTGGCACCGGGCAAGGAGGGCAGACTTCTGTTCAAACCCCAACTCTCCCCCACTGATGATCAGTGGGCAACAACTTTTATAGATATAGGGAGAGGCTACTTGCAGAAACAGCACAGTTAGCTCTGACAGTCATCTTGAAATTGATCATGTGGTGGTCTGATCAGCATCATCTTGATTGTTTTAAATACAATTGATCTTAAATTCTAGGATGGGCTTGTTCCCCGTTTCTTTGAGGCTAATTCTCTGAACAGTGGCAGCTTTTGTCACGGCTACAGCCTAGTCATCATGTAGTTCACTTCTTCCACCTGGTGGGGGTTTCAGTATCTATAAGAGCTCACAGGATATGGCCTAGAATAGTATCTATAGCCCTTGAGAAGGAATTAAAGGACCTTTACTATGCTTGAGGACTAAACTATTATTACGTGGTCTCTTTTGCGGTTTTCCTTTGTTTCTGCATTTTCTCACTTCTCTGATTATGCTTATTCTTTGGGTAAAGTTTTTCCGTAGACAAAGGCAGGTGGAGAACATGGGGAACAAGGTCCATAGTATCCTTCTCCATTTCATGTTGAACACTACACAACTTTCAGATCTTAGAATTGGATACGGCCATGCTCATTTCAGGGACCACATTGATCAAAAGTACTTGCTTTATATCACAGCAACTGCCAAAAATCCAGCTTTGCAATAATATGTAACCAAAACTAGTGAAAGGTCAATGAGTACTCTTTTGAACTAGCAGTAGGTAGATGTTGAGAATTGTTTCCCTCAGAAATTTAAAACATTCCAGAACCCCTTTGTGAGTATGCTGTAGCACCCCTCTTTACATGCCAGGTGCACAGTTTTGGAACCAATTAATAATCAATGAATGTGATGATGATCAAAAGTTCAACCATAAGAGCATTTTACACATGAAGCTTAATGTGAGAGTCTGGAGTCTCCTATTTCTGTTGGAAGTGGAACTTACAGATATGTAATAAATAGAGTATTTTTAAAAGAGGACATCAGTAAGCTTTGACTCTTATCACTTAAGTGGTAACTAAGTCTGGCAGAGAGACAGGGATTATGCACAGTGACTTCAAACAATGAAGATGTTTAAATGATTCAAGGCTATGGTTTTTCCAGTAGTCATGTACAGATGTAGAGCTGCATAGTAAAGAAGGCAGAGTGCCAAATAATTGATGCTTTTGAACCGTGGCACTCTTGACAGTCCCTTGGAAAGCAAAGAGATCAAACCAGTCGATCTTTAAGGAAATCAACCCTGAATACACTTTGGAAGGACTGATGCTGAAGCTTCGATACTTTGACTACCTGATGCGAAGAGGTGATTCATTGAAAAAGACCCTGATGCTGGGAAAGATTGAAGGCAAAAGGGGAAGAGGCTGACAGGGGGTGAGATGGTTGAATGGCATCACTGATTCACTGGACATGAACTTGGGCAAACTCTGGGAGGTGGTGAGGGACAGGGAAGCCTTGTGTGCTGCAGTCCATGGTGTGAAGAGTTGGACACAACTTGGTGACTGAGCAACAAGAGTTTGATAGTACTTTAAGTTTTAACTGTGAATTTTGAATATAGACTTGAAAATATTTCCAAAAGGAGAAAAAAATATGGAAGGCATTGATCATAAGGGTAACTTTAAAGCATTATTAATATTTATTGAGCTCGTATTATTTACTAAGCACTGTGCCAAATTCTCAAAATGTGACAGTAAACGTTAAGAGACACCAGCCCTATTCTCATGGAGTTTACTGTTCAGGCAAGGATATGTTGATGCAAATAATAGTCAATCTATAAATAAGAACAGAAGAGAGTTTTATTTGAGCCAAACAAAGAACTATAGCCTGGGAGACAGCCTCTCAGTTTGGAGGAACTGTTCTGGAGAAGCATGATTTTCAGTACAGCTTTTTATCTTGTCAGAACAAAGAACATCAAATATAACAAGGGTTCCTTCCTTTGGTGTTTCTTAAAGAAAGATTAACACATACACAGCCAGTCAATATGGTCTTAGAGCCTGGGAAGGGAGCCTTATCGTCAAAGGAGTACTAGCATTGACGTCCCAGAAAGGGAGGCTTTTATGTCTATCTTCAAAACAGACATTCTTTACTTCTGGACAGTGTACCCTCTTCTTTAATGGCTAAAACACATGTATAGTGTATGTTAGATAAGCTATAACACTGGCTGTTCTAATTAGAGTAAAGTCCAAGCCAAATCATGTGTAATCTGGCTTGATTACAATGGCTTCACCATACTTCAATATGTGAAAATTTCTTCCATCAGTTAATTTGGGAAGATAAAAGGAATAATAAATTTACATAACAGACTTAAATTGCAGTTGTGGTAATGCTACAAAGGAGACACATATAGTGATACAAAGAGTACTTTTCTTGGCTTTCTTGCCAAGAAATAATAGCAAATAAAAATTTGATGACTTGAGAAAGAGCTTTGTTTGTGTGGGAATAGAAATGCCAATGTATCTAGCATAGAGCAAGACACAGTGGTATGAGATTTAAGTATGAAGTCTGAGAGGCAAGCAGGATCCAGATCTTGTAAAGCTTTGTAGGTTCTGGTAAAGAGTTTATTTTCAGTACAATGGTAAGCTTTTAAGGGGTTTTGCATAGGGAACATCTTAAAGGTGATTTATGTTTAAGAAGATAACTGCCTACTATGTGGAGAAAGGACTTCAAGGGGATAAGAGTGAAAGTAGGAAGACCAATGAGATGGAAATTGTAATATTCTACTTGAGAGATGAGGGCAGCTGGAATTATGGTGGCACTGAAGATACAAGGGAATGAATTTGGGATATATATTGGAAATAGAACTACTAAGACTTAGTGCTAGATTGAATAGAAGTGGAAACATTTATCATACTTGGTTGATCTTGAAAAGTTTTCAGTTTTACTGTTAAGTTGATGTTTGCTGTTTTTAAAATAGATACTGTTTGTTAGATTAAGGAATTTACTTCCTATTCCTAGTTTGCTAATTTTTTTAATTTGAAAGGATGTTAAAAATTGTCAAACTTTTTTAAATCTGTTGAGATAATTTATGATTTTTCCCTTTTAATCTGTTAGGATAGTAAATTGTAAAATTGATTTTCTAATGTTGAACCAATTTTGCATTTCTGGAATATAACCGACATGACCATGATACATTCTTCTTTTCACAAATTGCTTCTTTTTGCTATTTTTTTTAAGACCTTATATTTATTGTAGTAAAATTAGCATGTAATCATTACTTTGTTGTACTATATATATCTGGATATGGAGTGTCTGTGTATGAGATGGAGATGGTTGCAGGTAAGAGAGTTTTCTTTAAAACAAAATAATTAAAGTAGTGCAGCTAGTTGCTTCTGGGAAAGAGGATAGTATGTAGTATCTTAAAACTTTAAAAATATTATTTTAAGTAGATATGGCTATAATCTGTGAACGAGAGACAGGTAAAACCAGAAAAATGGATAAACAGGCTGAGAAAGTGAAGGAAGACAAAAGGAGAGAGAGATCAAATCCTAGGTGATTCCCATTGCCTTATATACCTATATTAACAGCTAATTAAATAAATTGATACTGAAAAATAAGCAGACTTTTACTTCAAGTTCAGGTTCATTATGGAGTTTTGTTCTTTAATTTGGCTTCTGTTATATATGATGAAAGCATGTAAAATAAGATATCTTTAAAGCATCTGTTTGGTTTTTTGTTTCGGTTTTTTATGTATTGACAAAAGTGTACAAACATTGATCCTGAAAGTTTATGTATATGATATTAATTTAGTATTATGGTTGTTGTTGCTGTTCAGTTGCCAAGTCATGTCCAACTCTTTTCTACCCCATGGACTGCAGCACACCAGGCTCTTCCATCCTCCACTACCTCCCAGAGTTTGCTCAAATTCATGTCCATTGAATAGGTGATGGTATCTAACCATCTCATCCTTCTCCTTTTGCCTTTAGTCTTTTCCCAGCCTCAGGATATTTTCCAGTGAGTCAACTCTTTGCATCTGGTGGCCAAACTTCAGCTTCAGCATCAGTCTTTCCAGTGAATATTTAGGATTGATTTCCTTTAGGATTGACTCATTTGATCTCCTTGCTTTCCAAGGGACTCTCCAGAGTCTTCTCCAGCAGCACAATTCAGAAGCATCAGCTCTTCAGCACTCAGCTTTCTTTATGGTCCACCTCTCACATCTGTTCATGACTACAGGAAAAATTACAGCTTTGACTGTATGAACCTTTGTCAGCAAAATTATGTCTCTGCTTTTTAATATGTTGTCTAGGTTTGTCATGACTTTTTTCCAAGAAGCAAGCATCTTTTAATTTCGTGGCTGCAGTCACCATCTGCATTGATTTTGGAGCCCAAGAAAATAAAATCTGTCACTGTTTCTATTTTTTCCCCTTCTATTTATCATGAAGTGATGAAACTGGATGCCATGATCTTTGTTTTTTGAATGTTGAGTTTTAAGCCAGACCTTTTCACTCTCCTCTTTCACTTTCATCAAGAGGCTGTTTAGTTCCTCTTTCTGCCATTAGAGTGGTATCATCTGCATATCTGAGGTTGTTGATATTTCTCCCAAAAATCTTGATTCCAGCTTGTGATTCATCCAGCCTAGGGTTTTTCATGAATTACTGTGCATAGGAGTTAAATAAGCAGGGTGATAATATATAGCCTTGTTGTATTCTTTTCTCAATTTTGAACCAGTCAGTTGTTCCATGTTTGGTTCTGTTGCTTCTTGACCCACATACGGGTTTCTCAGGAGACAGATAAGATGGTTTGGTAGTCCCATCTCTTTCAGAATTTTCCACAGTTTGTTGTGATGGATCATCGAAAAAGCAAGAGAGTTCCAGAAAAACACCTATTTCTGCTTTATTGACTAGCCAACGCCTTTGACTCTGTAGATCACAATAAACTGTGGAAAATTCTGAAAGAAATGGGAATACCAGACCACCTGACCTGCCTCCTGAGAAATCTGTATGCAGGTCAGGAAGCAACAGTTAGAACNAGAGTTGACTCATTGGAAAAGACCCTGATGCTGGGAGGGATTGGGGGCAGGAGGAGAAGGGGCTGACAGAGGATGAGATGGCTGGATGGCATCACTGACTCAATGGACATGAGTTTGAGTAAACTCCGGGAGTTGGTGATAGACAGGGAGGCCTGGCGTGCTGCGATTCATGGGGTCGCAGAGTCGGACACGACTGAGCAACTGAACTGAACTGATACAGTCAAAGGCTGTATCACTTTAGTCAGTGAAGCAGAAGTAGATGTTTTTCTGGAATTCATGGTAGAAATGCTCAATGTTGAATCAGATTCTCTAGATACTCTGTTTTTTGAAATCTGCAGCGGAATTTTTTCTTACCCAGGAGTACAGTTCTAAAGTTAAAATGCATAAAGTGATAATATAGTTACGGATAGGTAAGAGCTAAGGCCAATTAAAGAAACTTCAGGTTATACATCTTTTTCACACTCTTTCCAAGACAGACAGATGAGTGGGATTTTAAGCATAATCAAATACACTTTATTTTTTTATGTAATTTTATCGATTGATTGATTTTTTTGGCTGCACTGGTCTTAGTTGCTTTGCGAGGTAAATGGGAGCTTTTCTTCATTATGGTGCATGGGCTTCCCATTGCGATGGCTTCTTTTGCAGAGCACAGGCTGTAAGCTCACGGGCTTCAGTAGTTGCAGCTTGCAAGCCCTAGAGTGCCTGGGCTTCAGTGGTTGTGGCACATGGGCTTAGCTGCTCAGCGGCATGTGCAGTTTTCCTGGACCAGAGATTAAACCCGTGACTCTTGCATTGGCAGGCAGATCTTATTCACCCACCACTAGGGAAGTCCCAATTACAGTGTTTACAGTGTGATTTTTATGTTTGTTTGGTTTTTTTTTTGCTGAGTAAAGTTAAATTTTCATAAGATTAATATGCATTTTGTGCAGATTTTATTAAGCTGTATTTTGATGACTGATTGACTAGATTTTGAGATTGAATTATTATGTAATCCATAAACTCCTATAAACTAGGACAGATTTTTATTTGAAGCATTAAAGTCCCTATCATCCCAATCAGTATTAGTCACTGATTTCATCTTGAATATGAGAATTTTCCAAGAGTGGCAATTATAACAGAGTAGTGTAAAGTCCTCAAAATTTTTCATATTTCGTATTCCTATAATGAAAATGTTTCCTCCTTTCCTTCTTTTTTTGGCCCTCTCACAGAAAGTAATCCTAAAATCACAATTCTGTTCTTAATCTCTTCATTCATTACAGTTTCTCTTCCTTTTTTCTCACCTTTTCTCTTATTGTGTATTTGTTACAGAAAAATTTTTCTTCAAAAATGGATGGGATGTCTTCAGAGGCTAATGAAGAAAAGTAAGTTCTTGAAATGCAGCTAAAAACATTAACTCCTTATCAGAGAAAGATATTTTTCCACTTGGTAAGACATATTGATAACTTCTGAAATGTTTTCCCAGTCTGCTCCAGGGAAAAGAAGTAAATGTTACAGAATCACAGCACTTCTTGTCATATCTTTGTATAAACTCATCTAGAGTCAAAATTGAGACAGATTTAGAGACTACCTCCCATCTCTTCAGTTTAAGAATGAGAAAATTGAGGCCCAAGGAAATGATTTATCTAAAGTTGGCATCACAAACTAGCAGCTGTTTACAGCCTATAAGCATATGTATATATGACAAAGAAAAATATTGTTTAAACATTGTTTTTTAGTTTTTGAATTAGTTGCCAAAATTTCATACAACAGTTAGATTTTCAGTTTTTTCTGAAAAATCAAGTGTTACGACACTGGGCTCATATTCTTGGTTGGCAACAACTAACCTAGTGGAGTACATAGTAGCTGTAGCTGATCAAACCAGGCAGGAAGGAACTCTCTATAGTCTCAACACCACTTATTTTTCTTAACATCTGCTAAATTATCTGTTTGGCTTTTTCAGTATTCAAAACCTGGTCTAAAAATCACACAGCAGTAAAACCAGAGCTAGAGGCTTTTGATTATGATCCATTTATCTTTTGGGTTTTTTTTTTTTTAGCCCATACTGCTTCTTATAGACTCTTAGTTCCCTGACCAGGGATTGAACCCATGCCCCCTGCAGTGGAAGCTCAGAGCCCTGACCACTGGACCACCAGAGAATTACCTTTCTTTTTTTTTTTTTTCCTTAAAGTCCATATATCTTATAATCGTACTTATATTTATATGGTAAACTATGTTGTGCTGATTGTTTTTCAGGAAATAGTTGTATGATATACCGTATATATTTTAAAATGCTGACTTCCTAAATACTGAATTTAAGTCTTGTAATATAAATTTTATTAAGTGAAAGTGATAACTGATTTATAAGCATGGAAGGGATATTGTAATGATGGGTTTTAGAATTCAGTCTTTTACCACTGTGTATGTAAATTTTTTTTCCCTTTTTCAGTGGCAATGTGGAGAGACCTGTTGGAAGACGACATTCTTCAGTAAGAAACACTTATTTGAGCTATTGTTACCTTTTATTGATTGATGACTATATACAACAGTAATTTTGTTTTTTTTTTTTTCCTGTGACTTTATTTATTTTACTTTATTTTTTTTTAGTGGTTTTTGCCATACATTGACATGAATCAGCCATGGATTTACATGTGTTCCCCATCCCGATCCCCCCTCCTGCCTCCCTATACGACAGTAATTTTGAATGACATCATCATCCCAACCCTCCTGGCTTCTATTACTCTCTGGATAAAGACTCAAATATTTTACCTGAATACACAATTCTGTAGATATACTAAAATTCCTATTTTATGGATTTCATGGTAATTTAATACGTCATGTTCTATGTAAATTATTCTTTAATAAAGCTGTTTAAAAAATATATAAAAACTACTGTACAGAGCTGCAGCAAAACACAAAATAATCCAGCTAAAATCTATTTAAGCACAAAACTTTTTAAGTTATGAAATTGAAAAAAATCCAAAGATAGGGATGATATTCGGCACAAGTTAACTGACAAGGGGTTCCAACAATAGCACCAGTGGTTTTGTGGTACTTTTGCCGTAAGTGTCTCTGCCACAGGCACTCTTGCCACATTACTAATTGGCAGCAGTATTATCATCGTGGAAGGGTTTTATAACACAATACAAAGCTCAGTTACAAGTATGTATCCTAGTGTTTGAAAACTGATAACCTATCTTAGTAGAAGAAATTTTTAGTGAAAAACTATGATGCCAAATGAAAAGAATGAATCAATAAATTTTTTTAAAGATGTATTAAATATACTATGAGCAAAAGATAAAAGGCAAGTGCTTAGGTACAACCCACAAAATGAAATCAGTTATTTATGCAGTATTGCCATGAATTTACACACATTTTAAATGTATTCAAGTATTCTGTATCTTGCAATAAAGTCTTTAACTTTGCTATTCATTTTTCATGTTTCATTATGTCCTTTTTAATGTCCCTCTTTTATCTTTTATAGCAAAATTGCATTCTGGTCAATTAGTTATGCAGCAAAAGTGTTTGTAGGACAGATGTCTGTGCAAGGACACTTATGGTGAAAGTACTGGACCCAATTAGTACTTGATTTCCTTTCATTTTTATACTCTAATCTCTTCCTCTGGGTAATGAACAGCTCTCTCTCTATTATTACCACAATACAGCTAGCTCTCCCAACTTCCAGGTTCAAGTTCTACATAAAAAATAATGTCTGTTTCCTCAGGATTAAAAAATAAATAAATAAACCCAGAATACTCAGGGTTGAATCATGTTGGCTCTATTATTTTGATATGGGTCAAGTCCTCATTCCCAAACCAGACACTATTGATGAAAGAATGTTTGTGCAGATTGATCTTGGCCCCGGGTTACCTGTTGAACCCTAGAGCTGAAGTAGAGTTTTACACAGACCACATGGGATTAGAGTAAGCAAAATAACTGGGAAATGTAGGCAAGGAGAACAGAATGGAGCCAAATATTTAAAACAGCCACAAAGTACAAAGCAGTTTGAATTTGTGGTGTTTTAGAGGTTTCTACAGGAATTTTAGCATCTTTTCCTTTCTGCTCATGATATAACTTGAAGTGATTTCAAGTTATATCATGAAATAATAATAGATAATAGCAGACTTTCTTGAATATTTCTCTTCTAGATTTTGAAACCCCCAAGGAGTCCTCTTCAGGACCTCAGAGGTGGAAATGGGAATGAAACTATTCAGGTAAGTTTCTGGTACAAAATATGTCATAGATGATTATTTCCAATGATACTTTCAATAAGTAGAAAATTTTCTAGCTATTGAAGGGAGAGCACCATAAATGATTCTCAGTTGAATATGTACAAGTAAGCATTCCATGGCCCTCAGGTTGTAATCCAAACATGTACAAGTAAGCATTCCATGGCCCTCAGGTTGTAATCCAAACATTTGAGCAAGCTGGCACTCTTGATTTTTAACCCCTATTTACTTTTCCAGACTTATTGCCACTCATACATGTATCTCACCCTTCAGAATTGCTTACCATTCCCCAAATAGACATGAACTGTCAAGGCTGCGGGTATTTATATGTGATGTTAGCTCTGTTAAGATGGCTAGTCCCTCATCCTTCATTTACCTGCCAGTATTTTATTAAAAATTTTTCCGAACACATGGAAAAGTAGAAAGAATTTTGTAGTGAATGTTCATATAGTTATTACCTAGGTTCTACAATTAATATTTTATCATACTTGGTTTATCATATATTTGTAGTCCTCTTTACCCCATGATTCCCGTTTGATCTCTAAGACTCAGCTTCGGTGTCGCTTCTATCAGAAAATCCTCCCTTAACATATTCTCTTGTAGTTGTTTACTAATGTCTGTTATAAATTAAGAACTCTCTTAAGATTAACTTTGTTGTGTGTTTTTTTAGTGTATTATATGTGGTATATAATTCACTTTCAGTACATTTTGTTGAATGATGAAATGTGTATAGCTTTGGAGACCATTTAATTCTGAGCACTTACCCTACTTTATAGCCTCTGTAAATAAATTTTTCTGTTTCTCAAGTATAATATCAAGCCTTTGCACATGATCTGAATCGAATGCTTTCCTTCTGTTCAATCCTTCATCTGACTACTAACTAATCCTTCAGATCTCAACTTAAATGTACTTCCTCACAGAAATCTTCCATAATTCTCAGGCTAAATTATTTTTAATGTAGTTTTTGTTCATATCACTTATTACCTTTTAATTTTATATTTGTGTAGATTTTTGTTTTAATGTCTGTGTTACCGTTAATCCCCAGTAGAGAAGGGACTGTATGGTTTCCTTTACCTTTCTTTTGCTGTCACTCAGCATGGGATTTGGTGTGTGTGGTTTTTTTTTTTTTTAGTTTAATGAATGTTTGAATGAGTAAATAACGGATCCATAGATTCATAGAGCTTTAAAACCAACAGGACCTCAATAGTAATCTTGAACCTTATTCCTTAATTTTATAAATAAGAAATAGGAGGTCCAGAGAGGTTAAATGTTTTGTCTAACCCCACACAGTTAGTGACAGACTTCAGATTGGAGCTGTAATCTCTTTAGTGCTCTTTCTAATATACCACACAAATTTCAGGGTTTTTTAAAAGGTAAGAAATACATTAGTATTTATTATGTCCATATTGTTGTTATTATTAAGTTCAAGGCCACCTGTGGTGTCTGCCAGGATCTTAACAGAGAGGATGAACATTCCTGGTTCTTTGTAAAAAGATTTATGCTCAGGTATCCAGAGCATTAGGAAATCCAAAATTAGGAAAGTAAAATTCTCTATGGATTTCATTTGGTTTTGTGTTTGGTATCTATATGAGTAAAACTGTTCATCCTTGTTAAGGAAGATGAAGGAAAATAAAAATACTGTAATGAAAATATGTTCAGCATCACTAATCATTAGGGAAATACAAGTCAAAACCACAGTAAGATATCAATTCATATCTGTTAGGATGGCTACTATTAAAAAAAAAAAACAGTCGGCTAGGATGTAGAGTAACTGGAACCCTTATGTACTATTGGTGGGAATGTAAAATGGTGCAGCTGCTATAGCAAATAATGATTCCCCCAAAAACTAAAATAGATTTACCATATGATCCAGCAGTTCCACTTCTGGGTATATACCCCAAAGAATTAAAAGCAGAGTCTTGAAGAGATGTACACCACTGTTCATAGCAGTGTTATTCACAGTAGCCAAAAGGTGGAAGCAACCCAGAATCCATTGACAGATGAATAGATAAACAAAAGGTGGTATTAATGGAATATTATTCAGCCTTAAGAAGGTAATTCTGATACATACTACAATGTGGATGAACTCTGAGGATATGATGTTAAAAGAAAGGAAAAAAAAAAAAGCCACAAAAGACAAATACTTCTATGAATTACCTGGAGTAGTCAGAATCATAGAAACAGATAGTAAAATTGTGGTTGTGGGGAGGTTGGAGCATATGAGGGAGTTGTTTGTTGAGTATAGTATCAGTTTTGCAAGATAAAAAGATTTCTGGGGATTGGTTACACAACCATATAGATGTATGTAATAGTACTGAAGCGTACACTTAAAAACAGTTAAAAGAGGCTTGAGTATGTTAGGTCAAATACTCACAGAAGGACAAAAACTTGATGATTCCACTTACATGCAAAGTCCAAAATAGTCACATTCATAGAATCAGAGAGGAGGGGAGTGGTTGTCAGGGACTGAAAGGAGAGGGAAATGGAGAGTTGCCAATCAATGGGTATAAAGTTATACATGATGAATGAATTCTAGAAATTCACTGTATAACACTATGCCTATAGTTAACAACATTGTATTATACACTTAAAAATCTGTTAAGAGAGTAGATCACATCAAGTGTTCTTACCATAATAAAATTAAAAAATTTTAAAGTGATTTTATGTTAATTGTATTTTACCACAATTTAAAAAATTCTTTTAATCTTAAAAATAGTATAGTAAGGTTACCATGATAGGCAATATATCACTTGTTTCCAGTCTTTCTTCTACTGGATAGCAAAATTATCATTTATTTAAAGGAGAGAGAAAAGGTTAAGGACAGTAATCACCTTCCTTAAATATATGTTGTTTGTGTCAGTAAGCTTATTATTATTCACATTGAAAATCATATTCATGTTAAGTGCTTCTGTATTGGAATTCTTTGAAGGATCAAATTATCAAAATTAATAATATCACATTAATTTAAAATAAGACCTGGTATCTGTCTCATCATACTCTTGGAGACATACTTCTTAGTGGTTTCATTAAGAACTTACCATACATTCTCTGCTCTTAGGAATCCAACGCTTTGAGAAATAAGAAAAACTCTCGTCGAGTCAGCTTTGCAGATACTATAAAGTAAGTTGAAAAAAATAAATGTTACAGGTAATACTTTTTTGTGTGTTAACACCAAATATGTTGGTACTAACTGATTTGGATAATTGGTATGTCAATTAGATAGATGTTAGAAAATTGTTATTTAAAAGTCTGTTATGCTTAAAAGAAACACTGAAAGCATCCCCTCTTAAAGTCCAGAAGGAAAACAATTACGTTTCGCTGCTGTTATTTAACATTTTTTTTTGAGGTGCTAAACAACAAAAATAGAAAAAAAATGGGGTTATAAAAATTTTAATATATTTCTTACATAATAATAATCAGAAGATAAATGTCTTTTTTTCTTTATATTACACTTTGTTGCTGTAAATTTAATAATAATAGCATATAAAGAATAAAACATCACTGAAGAACACTAAGTTAAGAACTGTACAGGGAACTCCCTGGTGTGGCCAGAAAACAAAAGAAGAATTGAACAAATGCAGACAGGTCCCTAAATAAAAAGGTGTGACATCATGAAGATGTCACTTCTCCCTAAGTTATTAATCTAATGTGATTCTTGCATGTAGTATTTTTATGATTATATTCTTGATGCTCATCAATATGCTTGTATTTCCTCACTGAAGAGTTATTTGAGAATTTTAAAATTCATATCTCGTAAAGGCATTTTGTGGTCATTTTCAGTTATATTGTGGTGAGAAAATGCTAATCAGTATTATTTTGATTTTTATTGAAGTTGTGTGATCTTATATATGATCAACTTTTGTGAATGATCCATAAGTACTTGGGAAAGAAGATAATATTTTGAATATTAGGGTGTAGAATTTGGCATATCAATTCTATCCATTTACTACCTTTTATTATTTGGGTCTTCTTTAATCTTATATAGTTTCAGTCACTCTAATTTCCATGAATTATGACAGGTAAATTTGTCTCTAATTGATAGTGCATCCCACTCTAACTCTCTTTATCCAGTAGTTTTTCTTTGTAAATGTTTATTCTATGTTCATTGGTGCATATTATCATTGTTAATCTTTATTTAAGATTGTACTTTCTGGCATTACAAACTAATCATCTTTGCTTTGTTTATTGCTTTTTGATTCAAATTCTACCTAGACTGCTGTTAAGATTTCTTTCTCTGATAGATTTTTGCTTTCATATTTGTGGTACACCTTTTTATATTGTCTGACCATGTATGAGCAATTGTAAAGTTAGTCTGTTCCCTCCCTTCCTTGTACTATTTGGTATGCTTAAACTTCAGTTAAAACTTCATTGTTTTATATGATATCCTTTGGCATTTATAAAGGATGAGGTAGTTAGCCTACTTCTTCCCCTCATTTTTCCCCCATCCTCATTCCTTTCTTAATTTTTTTTTGAAACGTTTATCATGTCTCTTTGTCCTCTTCCCTCTCTTGTATCTCTCTCTCTCTCTCTCTCTCTCTCTCTCTCTCTCTCTCTCTGGGTATTTGGCATTAGGGAATCTGTCACATTTGTGTATCAGTTCTATTATATATATTTAATTGTTCATATCAGTTCTGTCACTATAGTTGCCCTAATTATCTCTTGGTTGGTTGAAGCTTTTTCCCTTATGTTTGAGGGCTCATTGGAACAATATTCTCTGAGTTCTTGGGTACTCAAACTGTTAGTTACAGTCTTTATATTTGACAGTTTAGCTGAATATAAAATCTTCAACTCACTTTCTCTTTAAAGAACTTGTTAATGTGGTTCTGTTCTTTAGCATTGAATGTTTCTATGAACAAGTCAGAGGAGAGTCTTTTGTTATCTTTGACGTTTATTGACTTTACCACAATACATCTTCATTTTGATTGCTTTGGGTCTTGAATCTTGAATCAACCTTTTAATATTTTTCCTATTCCATTATGTAAATTTCATTCAGTTCACTTCAGTCGCTCAGTTGTGTACGACCCTTTGTGACCCCATGGACTGCAGCATGCCATGCCTCCCTGTCCATCACCGACTCCTGAAGCTTGCTCAAACTCATGTTCATCCACTTGGTGATGCCATACAACCATCTCATCCTCTGTCGTCCCCTTCTCCTTTTGCCTTCAATCTTTCTCAGCATCAGGGTCTTTTCAAATGAGTCAGTTCTTCACATCAGGTGGCCAAAGTGGTGGAGCTTAAGTTTCAGCATCAGTCATTTCAATGAATATTCAGGACTGATTTCCTTTATTTTTTAAAATTTTTATTAGTTGGAGGCTAATTACTTTACAATCTTCCAGTGGTTTTTGCCATACATTGACATGAATCAGCCCTGGATTTACATGTGTTCCCCATCCTGATCCTCCCTCCCACCTCCCTTCCCATCCCATTCCTTTGGGTCTTCTCAGTGCACCAGCTCTGAGCACTTGTCTCATGCATCCAACCTGGGCTGGCAATCTGTTTCACACGTGATAATATACATTTTCAATGCTGTTCTCTCAGATCATCCCACCCTCACCTTCTACAGAGTCCAAAAGTCTGTTCTATACATCTGTGTCTCTTTTTCTGTCCTGCATATAGGGTTATCATTACCATCTTTTTAAATTCCATATATATGCATTAGTATACTATATTGGTGTTTATCTTTCTGGCTTACTTCACTCTGTATAATGGGCTCCAGTTTCATCCATCTCATTAGAACTGATTCAAATGTATGATTTCCTTTAGGATGAACTAGTTGGATCTCCTTGCAGTCCAAAGGGCTCTCAAGAATCTTCTCCAACACCACAGTTCAAAAGCATCAATTCTTTGGCACTCAGCTTTCTTTATAGTCCAACTCTCACATCCATACATGACCACTGGAAAAACCATAGCCTTGACTAGATGGACCTTTGTTGGCAAAGTAATGTCTCTGCTTTTTAAT